AGGGAAAGAATTTTGTTCCTGTTTCATTTGGTATAAAGCACACAGACAGCGGTTGATGGACAGAGGTAGGTTATCGTTTCTGTTCTCACCTTAGCTATTTCCTTCTCTTCCCAGTCCTTTTCTCTTTCCTTTGATTTGAAATTCATCTGTGTCTGGCTCAAGGGACTCATTTTGCTGGGCTGGCTTAGCACTTCCCATCAGAAAGGTTATACTACTAAGTAGTTTAAAAAATTAAATGTACTCTTTTGGCTTCAGGATCAGTTAGACAGAATTACTATGGGGACTGGGGGGAGGAGGAGCTGCAGATGCCACTGGTTTTTTTTTTTCCTTTATAAGCAGTGTATACTACCTGCTTTGAGTAAATTACTGAATTTGCTTTTAATTATATGTGGTCACAGCTGCAGTCTGATCTTCTTTTGTGATGGAAGTCATACAAGACAGAAGATCACGTATCTCTCTCTTGAATCCACAGGTGCTTCTCTTTAAAAAAATGCTGATGTTTTCCACATATTATTACTAAAGACTTTAGGAAAAAGCACTACTATTGCTTAGAGTGAGACACACCATTGTCATCTCAGGCACTTTCAGTAGCCACTGGTGCAGTTCTACTGCAGTCTCTGTTATTCATCATTTAGTTCTCCTATCACGTAGACCAGTATGACACTACTAAAACAACATGCTATAGAGGTGATATCTAGGGAACTTTCTAGGAGATTTTCTGTCAGTAGAAGAGATCATTGGTTTGTTAACACGAACAAACAAATTAAATAAATTGATTTAATACATTGATTAAATAGTACACCTTAGCCTGGACACAACCAAATTCTCAGCTGTGCACATGTAATTCAGATTCTGAGGGAAACTATTACTACACACAGAATCATGTATAAAGTGTTGAACAGGAGCAATAGGAGCTACCGGCTGTTATCTGAATGAAACTGTTTTGCCTGAATATTTCAAGATATTTTTAGTTTTCCTACAATAACAAATGATCCTCAGCTCTTTGATCAACTTGATATTACAGCAAAAGAATAGAAGAAGAAAAAGAGAAAGGAATTGCCATCTGTCATCTCTGGCTAATTATTTTAAGCCCTACCTTGTTTTATACACTGCAGCACACTATTTTAGGTCTTGTTAACTGAGAAATCTTCTACTCTGCAGGAGTATAAATGAGTTCACCTCTAGCAAGTTCCCCACAGCTCAGCATGTTGTGCCGTCATTTCATACAACCTTTCTCCCAACCTAATGTCATGATTTATTAGTTCTGTCAAGTCTATTTTATCCTACTCCCTCAGCTGAACTGGCTCTTCAGTGTAAGACTGTTTTGTTGCCTTTTTTGTGAGTGTCTGGGGAAAGAAAGGGAACAGGACTACATTCCTCCAAACTCCTGTTAGCCATCCAGCACCTTGGCGTTAGCTCTGCTGTAGTTTTTGGAGTGAAACAATAAATGAAGGAACTCTCTGCAAGTGTGCAGGGTCCATGTCAGGCAACAGGCATTCATCTGAAAAGGCACTTGCACTATTCATGTGAAAAGTAATATGCAATGTGTTTCTTCAGAGTGGGCCCAGGAGCCCTCTGCTTCCACCTACCCTGCGGACATAGTACTCCAAAAAGCATTCAGAGTGAGGAAGCAGCTTTGTGTTCTACAAGCTTACCCCAAAATTTCACCTTTTCCCTGGGATATGGATTACCTAAACACAGAACACATTTTTTTTTTGCCTTATAACTGAACTACTTCAACATTTTGGATTAACTGAGACTTGTTCTTTTTAAACTCTCTTACTGAAATTATTGTTCTTTTCTCATTAGTTTTTGAAAGTTAAGGGGCATCAGGCTGGATAAAACAGAATATATCCTCATTTTATAAGTGCTGACTGTTGTCATGCTCACTATCTTTCATTTTCATAAACAAATGTCATTTTGTTCCTTTGCAAGTTGATGTTTTTTTCAATATAATTGTAAAGCAAGTTTCCAGAGAAATTTTTTAAATCTATGATATGTTGAAACAGCTTAATTAAGATTTGAGTTAATAAACAGTAAGGAAACAGGCAAGCTTCCGGGACATAGTAAAATCTCTCTATAAGATTTCAGATCCTTTTGACCTCTTTAAAAACAAGGCGGGGGGAGAAGGGGGGCCGAGGGGAGGGTGTTTAATCTTTGAATAACTACTTATTTATTCTATAACACAGCTAAATATCCTGAGCTAAATTCTGGATTTGTGCTTTTTCATTTTTGATGTACTTGGAGATAAACTGTGGTATTGTCCTCCATAACAGTAAGCTCATTTTCTCTTGAAAGTAAGAACTACAAGTGGACGGTGATGGTTTTTTTTTTTTTTTTTGAGAGAGAGTAAGCCCTATGGAAAGGCTGCTAAATGCCATCCCAAGACTGAACTTCCCCAGGGGCATCCACTTAAAAACACCACATAAAATCAAACTCAGTGATTAAACTGTGGCTGTGTGAATTTATTCCAACCTAAAAAGATTTCCAAATTTTCAATCAAATTGAAATCAGGGTGAAACATTTTGCAAATCAGTTTTACATGCCCTGATTACATTTAACTTCACTGGTCATCTCCTGGTTTTAACAAGGGCAAGCAGCAGGACAAAGCTGCTTTTGCATCAAGCTCATCTAAACCCAGGTAAGACTAGAGTACATGTGCAGAACCCCAGGACACTGAAAAAAAGGAATTCAAATCACTTTTCCAAGATAGTTAGTTTTTTTCACTTGACACAGTGTAGATCATGCCAAAAATTACCAAAAGAATCTCACTTACATCTTTCCTACACTAGCAGCACTCTTAAGATGAAAATCCACAATTATTCAGAGAAAATCAATTGACAGTAAGAAGGCAATTGAAAACTTAGCCTGTCTTTAATTTTTTATATAATTCATTTCTTAGTTTGAAATATATTTCAATATTTCATATGTCATTGAAAACTGTAGGATTGGTGAATGACACTTCTTCTACATACCTGTCACTTGAAATAAAGTCAAGCAACAAAGAATAAAAAGTAAATTCAGGAGAAAAGTAGAAGAGAATCTAAGCAAAACATAGAAAAATGAGTCATTACTTAAATGTATACTATATGCTGCATAGGAATTTAAACTAGGGTCAGTCATAAATCCTCCATCCTTTCAACATCTCTGTGTCTATAGCATTGAAAAAATTCTTGCTTCAGGAGGCCGAAGATTAACGTAAACCTGAAAAAAGTGAGTCACTGTACACACACCAGCAATTAAGAAAGACGGGTGAACTGCCCAGATAACTGAGGTATCAATAATTAAATTCAATACATCTGTATTGTAAGAACAACTCCATTAGGAAAAAATATAAACTGATAGTAAGCACCTTTGGATTTTGCATCTTCTTAAAAAATTTTTCATTTTTTTATACACATTAAGAATAATTATTACAGGCTTGGCTGAGACAAGCATCCAGAGTACTATAATAAACAGATCTGCTGTCATTCTACTTCAGAAAACATAGTGGAACTGAATGATGACAGACTACAGACTGACGTGAAGAAATGAAACATTTTTACAGACATCAGAAAGTTAGAAAGAAAGCATAACTTCACAAAACATCACTTATTAGTTACCTGTCCCAGAGAGTAGGTGAAGATTTTGCGAGCCTGCCCTGGAGAATTCTAGGTTGCCATAGGCAGGTTGGCACCCAGGAATTTCGTACCCTGCAGCATGAATAGAGGATAAACCATGGCTAGGTATGGCTCATAAGACATACGAGTGATAACCTAGCTAGATTCGCTGCATGTTAGTAGGCTACGGCATAATTTGGTAATATTTAATATTCAGGATATCTTACTTTAGAGGAGTATTAAAACTACAAAACAAGGTGATGTTACAGCACACACGTTTAGTGATTTTCTTGTATGACTATTGTAGGTCAGAATAAGCATTTGTAATTGACCTTATGATGGTTGTAAATGGGTGCTACTCCATCTGTTTTACTGGAGAAGCATTTGTTCTTAAGATTTGTGAATCAAGCCCTTACATTTTTGCATTGTAAAACCATCAGATTAAACAAATTTATGCTTCATTGAAAGAGGGTCAGCAAAATTCCTTCTGAGCACCGTAGTGAGAACATGTTTAACAGTTTTAATTAAATCTGGGCTGAGGTTCAAGTTCCACATACCAGGTTCCATGCACATCTACCAGCAGCAGAACAATAGCTGCAAAATATTTGCTGGAAATGAAAAGCACAAAGCGAAGCAATCTGAACTAGCAATGTAAGCTATGAATAACACAGAGCAAAAGCAGATCCAGAGCCCAAGAGAAGGCCAACGAGGCAGGCAAACTGGCAATGAGAACTGTTGCCCAACATTAGCATCAAGCAATGCTGGTAAGATTCAAAACACACTGTTCAGCCCTTAGTCAAGCAAATTCCCACTCAAGTCAAAGGTGGTATTTTCCTGAGTAAAATCTGAGTAAGGACTACCGTATTTGGCCATGCAGAATACCTCATACAATATGGCTGTGTTTCTGTGCAATACCAGAAATGCAACATAACATGCCTTGAGGGATAAACTCAACAAAAGATCAGTTTTTCCTCACTCAAGCACATTCATATTTATGAACCAGAACTTTTACATAATCTTTCCCTGTGGTCAGTGATCACTACACATGCAGAAAATCCTACCCTTTGGTATTCACCATCAGTTACCAGTGGGTACTGCAAATTAGGGACCTTCTGGACCGTGAACACGCCTTTACATATAGGGACACATTCTGGGAGCAATAGCTCAGCTATTGCTCAGAGAGCAGCAGAGAAATTCAATGTTTATGAGCAAGGAGAACCCTCCTGAGTCTCTTTACATTGCACAAAGTCCACCCTGGGATTGACTTCATGTCAAGAATCACCGGCAACAAGATGATGCTCTTTAAGGCAATCTTAGGAAAAGCACTAAGTGAATTCTAGGCTGTTACTCTAGTTCTAGCATCGAGTTGTTCATTGAATAAGGAAGCAACACTTCAGTATCTTTTAACTTCTTCCATACCAGAATTGGATTAAGTATGTGAAGACACTCAGGGTGTCATAAAAAAAGAGTTTACCTGAGGTTTAGGTGTTTTCATCACATGAATTTAGAGCAATATTAGCTTTGAAATCGAAGTGGAGGTGGGAATAAATCTCTGCAGTCTTTAATACCTTGGTATTGTTGGTTCTTCAGTGAACTGTCAGTAACACATTGGAGTATGTAGTGCTCTCAGCTTTTCTGATGTTCTCAGACTGCAAACCTCATAATCAATAGGTGTGTACTTATTTAACCTGTATTTGTTCTCTGGTACTTCACTATGTGTTTCCCAACTACAGGTGTGAAGCAAACAGTCTGTTGAAGGAATACAGATTTGAAAATGGTCTCTACCTGCTCACCATTTTGTGTCTGCATACTGTTAGGAACAGAATTGTAAACTGCTCCTAAAAATCAGGTCTTTGAAATCTTGATCAAAATCATCAAATTCAGCCACAGGTTTTTCCAGAACCAGTGAATATTTTTTCCAACCAATGCATTTTGCATACTTCTCTGCACATCACTGAGAAACCCTCCATAGTAGTTTTCTAATGAAATAACAAAACTTCCAGATTTTCAAAAAGATTAAATGAAAACTTTATCTGGCTTTTCAAGCCCACAAAATTAATTTAACTGGGGGTCTTAGAGGAAAGAAGCCATCTGAGCAGGGAGAAATCTCTGCTGTCTTCAGATCCATTACCACCTCTCTTCCATGTATCTTAATCTAACCTATCTCATACCTTTTACTGTATAGCAAATAGCTTTGCTATAGATAATATTGACAAAACATTTTAAGGCTATGAGGTTGCGAGATGTTTTGACAGAGAGGGGAAGGGTGTGAATTCCACTTTAGATGTTTGCTCAGTGTTTTTTCTTACATCTTTTCGGTAGTAAGCCCCGTGTAATTGCTCTGTAACTGAGATAATGCAGAGAAAAACTCTTTGCTCTAAGTGTGGTGGGTCTTTCAAAAGCTCCCCAAAGGGATTTAGTAACATCCTGTCACAGATAATCAGTGTCAGTTGTAGTCAGTCTAATCACATTCTCATGTGCAAATGTGAAAAATAATTAGTAACTGTAAGATTTATTTATTTTCCTGATATACAAACACAAAAATTAATTTGTCACCTTTGCCAGTTTACATGGGATATTATTTTATCATTGGCAAATCAGAAATCAGCAAACAAACATATGTTTTTCTCTGAAGCAACTGTAAATTTTAACAGAAACAAAATGGGAAATGCTCCCAGCTCTATTAATGTGCTCTGTCATTTCTGAAACAACAGCTATAAGAAACTTGTAAGTATTGAAAATAATAAAAAAGCATTTTAAAAGTAGATTGTATAGTCACAGTATGCAAACCATAGTTTACTATAAGAAAAATAGCACTCCCAAAAAACCAAAGATGAAGATTATCAAATTTTAAATTACTTTTTATTATACTATAGCATGATATAGTAACTCATTTTCCTCTTCTTTCCACAGAGCTTCCCGTATCCCTCACTGATGTGATTGAGACAGACTCCAGTGTCAAGTGAGGTTCAAAACTGTGCATACTGTTTTAATAGCTTGTGTTTCCTTGTCTTGTCCTAGAACATGCAGTATGTTACTTCACATATTTTCTGTGGCTGATCTGACAATAATCACAGAAGATACTTACAGACCTATGGCCATTTAAAAAAAAAAAAAAAAAGGAGGGGGATTTCTCAGTGATCAACATTTTATTTCACTGTCTAGAGTAGAACAACAGTTCACTCATGTTATTCTTCAAAACCACTGATGTTTTTATGTTAGAATATACATGGTTATTTCATAAATGACAATACAAATCTGAATGATTTTTTCTGAAATAATGTGTTTTTCAGAAGTTGAAGAATTTCGTGGTTGCTCTACTTGTGAGGGGAGGACTTAGTGAATAGCCTTTAGCAACCTCTAAGCAAAAGCCACCCTAAATCTAGCATCTGTTAAAGAGTGAATTTTCTGTAGAGCAGGAAAGAATATGTCCTTGTCTGATTTTAGCTTAAACTCAGTGTTCTTTAAGACCTGAAGGGAATTTGAAAGTCACCCTTAAACTGGGTTGCGCTATTATGATTTCTGTACTTGCCCAATTTAGCCCTATTTTACCCCAGTATGAAGAAGTTAAGCACAAGGACCTCTATTTTTGCTTCTGTTAAAACCATACAGCTATTTTAAGGACATGCTTTTATAAACACTAATAATCCCAGATGTAACATTGACAGAGCAAGCTGGAAGAACTGCAGGGACACCTTGGAACATACTGTCACGACTCGACCTCCACATCCCGTCCTCATTGACGAGGCACGTGGAAGTGATGATGGTTTAGCATCGCAGGCTTGCAAGATGCTGTCAGCTGCACTTGCTACCTACTTTCCTACCAGTCATGCCAGTGTAGGTAACTGGCTGTCATCTCCACGGAACAAAGGCTGGAGCTAATAAAAATGTCAAGCAATCCATTTTCTGTGAGGAGGTGGCAGTTCTATTCCTGGATTTACCCAGAACTGTCTATGACCACAGCATTAAATAATGTAAAACTGCTGCAGGGTCTGCAACAATACATTTAATGCACATTATAAATATAATTTCTTAATTGAAAAACAGGGTCCTACAGAACCGTGCAACCTCTCAGTTGGGGTAATCTGCAGGCATTGGACCAGTAGCTCTGCAGTTCGGACACAGATGCTAACAGAATACCTTGGAATATAAGGAGGCTGGAAATGTCCATGGAGCAGAAAAGGGAGGAAGATGAGGACATTTGTTATCAGAGAAGTTAATACCTATTTTCTGACAGTATAGGAATACGGAGAAGTTGCTCTGAGAGCTCAGTTTAACACATTTTAGGAGAGACTGTTTCACTGGCAAAAGGCCTGCTGACTTGGGCACCTCTCAGTATTTGACCAGGCACAAAAATCCACCTTTTTTCCTCATCCCATTTCTTGTATTTTCTTTTTTTCCCCACCCCTTTCTTTCTAAGGATTTTCCAGTGGAAAATTTTTGGGTGACCCAAGCAATCAGTAGTGCTACTAAGTCATCACCTTACCTAGCTATATGTCTATCTATATTTATCAAACTGTGTGGGCAGCCTTTTGTAGAGTAAATGTGTATGTATATGCACACACACAGGTATATGTATGTACATACTTTAAATCCACTATTTTCAGAAAATGTATGTGGTAAAGAGTGTATAAAACCTTTAGCGTTAAGCTTCCAGGCTCAGAGTATAAATATGTGAATGAATAATTATCATTGTATTAGGCATGTTGACAGAGCAGTTGTTGTAGGATTGGAGCTACTTGCATGTTTGATTTTGTTTGTTGATGCCTTCAAATCTGTATGTAGCCAAAACACAAATTATGTTTCCCCCAGACACAAGGCGGTTGGCTCAATCCAGGTGTATCAACATAATGTAAGGATTTATGACTGAATGAATTACTGAACTTTCTGTTCTCAAAATGCTAAGATGCCATACTCTCTATAAATAATGCCGCAGGAGATGACATGAGCTAATCAGTTTTACATAAATTTCTAATAATTAGCAACTGGTTTAAACTCTCAAAAGAATCTGTGGAAACAGACCTAATTTCTCCAAACTTTTGCTAACTTTATTGCATCAACTGGGGAGTCTAGTTTGCATATGAATATCCACC